GAAACTCCGTCTCAAAAAAAAAAAAAAAAAAAAAAAAATTTGCCAGGCGAGGTGGTGGGCACCTGTAATCCCAGCTACTTGGGAGGCCGAGGCAGGAGAACTGCTTGAACCCAAGCGGCGAAGGTTGCAATGAGCCAAGATGGCGCCTGTGTACTCCAGCCTGGGCAACAGAGGGAGACTCTGTCTCAAAAGAAAAGAGAAAAGGCAGGTGCAGTGGCTCAGACCCATAATCTCAGTACTTTGGGAGGCCCAGAAAGATTTCATTTTTTTACAGTCAAACAGTTGATCCAGTTGGAATTTGTTCTGGGATAAGGAATGGGGTAAGAAATTTAACTCTACTTTTTCTAAATAGCTAGCTACTTATTGAATATTTAATTTAGTTTTTTGTTTTTTGTTTTTTTTTGAGATGGAGTCTTGCTCTGTCACCCAGGCTTGAGTGCAGTGGTGCTATCTTGGCTCACTGCAACCTCCACCTCCTGGGTTCAAGTGATTCTCCTGCCTCAGCCTCCCAAGTAGCTGGGATTACAGGTGTGTAACACTGCATCCAGCCTTTTACCACTGATTTTATATACTTAAATATTTTTTTGTTTCTTTTTTGGAGAGATTGCATCTTGCGATGTTGCCCAGGCTGGTCTCAAGCTCCTATGCTTAACCGATCCTCCTGCTTCAGCCTCCCAAAGCCACTGGGCCAACCATTACTACTGATTTTAAATGCTGCCTTTTCTCTCATATGGCATACCATCATAGGCTGACCCAAGCACATACACGTGTGCGCGCGCGCGCACACACACACACACACACACACACACACACACACACACACAGCTACCTCAGTGTGCGTCTTAGAACCTGACAGACTATCACTAAAGTTCATCTGGAAAAATCAACAGCTAATAAGGAGAGACAGGACTACTACCCCTTGTGATAGCACAAGCTATGCTCTCTGCCACTCCAGGGACTCCTCAGACAGATCACAATAGGAATGGTATCCCCTTAGGAAGTCAGGATGGCTGAGCGGTCTAAGGCGCTGTGTTCAGGAACGGTATCCCCTGGATGTGGCTGTCCTGGGCCAGGCCTGGCTTGGATTGCAACATATGATAGAGCTACAGTAATTAACCAGGTCAGCACAGGGGCTAGGATAGGCAGGTCACTGGGACAGAATTGAGGACACCTGTCAGGTGATTCAGCCATTCTACACACAGATCTGCCCCTAGACTCCCAATTCATTGAGCAATGCAAATAAAAGCCGCAGTCAACCACCACTGCATCCTGTTAAAATGGACACAATGAGAAACACTGACCATACCACGTCGCCAAGGTTGTGGATAAGGAAAACTGGCAAACACTGCGAGTGAGAATGTAAAATGCTACAGACACTAGGAAGCAGTTTGGCAGTTTCTTTTTTTCTTTTCTTTTGAGGCAGTCTCACTCTGTTGCCCAGGCTGGAGTGCAATGGCGCGATCTCGGCTCACCACAACCTCTGCCTCTGGGGTTCAAGCGATTCTCCTGCCTCAGCCTCCCGAGTAGCTGGGGTTATAGGCATGTGCCACCATGCCCGGCTAATTTTTGTATTTTTAGTAGAGACGGGGTTTCTCCATGTTGGCCAGGCTAGTCTCGAACTCCTGACCTCAAGCGATCCACCCACCTCAGCCTCCCAAAATGCTGGGATTACAGGCATGAGCCACTGCGCTTGGCCCTAAGCCATTTTAAAAGCAGCAGCTTAATTATGGTTTTTCAATGGATGTTAATTGGATGAGTTGGAATTGGAGCCCAGTTATTTCACTTCCTAGTCCAGTTATCGCTTTTGTACCACTTGTTTCCTTCCCTATGAGATATCATTTATATAAGGATATCTTTTTTTTTTTTTTTTTTTTTTTAAAGAGGGGGTTTCACCATCATGGCCAGGGTGGTCTTGAACTCCTGACCTCAGGTGATCCACCCACCTCAGCCTCCCAAAGTGCTAGAATTACAGGCATGAGTCACCGTGCCCGGCATAAGGAATTCTTTTTTGTTTTGAGACAAAGTTTCACTCTTGTTACCCAGGCTGGAGTGCAATGGTGTGATCTCAGCTCACCGCAACCTCCGCCTCCTGGGTTCAGGCAATTCTTCTGCCTCAGCCTCCTGAGTAGCTGGGATTACAGGCACGCGCCACCATGCCCAGCTAATATTTTGTATTTTTAGTAGAGACGGAGTTTCACCATGTTGACCAGGATGGTATCGATCTCTTGACCTTGTGATCCACCCGCCTCGGCCTCCCAAAGTGCTGGGATTACAGGCTTGAGCCACCACACCAGCCATAAGGATTTCTTAAAGTTAAAATTATGTTCATGTTGAGCAGCCAAAAGCTGATGCTAAGTGACTGTCCTGCTTCCAGAAATATTTTCCCTTTCAGTAGATAGTTTCATCAACCACAACAATATGAATATGGAACACTTACCTTCCTTAATACTTCCTGACCTTTGAGTAGGGAAGGCCTGGGGAGGAGGAATCTGTGCTATGAGCGGCTGCTGAGGTAGCTGCTGAATGATGGTGGCAGGTGGCTGGGGGACCTAGGAACAGCCAGGTGATTAGCTGCATGTGTCCTTGAAGAAAGTGTCTGCAGTATCTACTACCTATCAACCACCCACCCATCCAGCCAGCCAACCAGCCATCCACCCACCCATCATTCATGCAACCAACCATCCCCTCACCCATCAACCCATCCACCCACCCATCCATCCATTCATCCATCCAAGGAGAACTTTAAATGATTAACCCCAGACACTGAATAGATAGTTGAATGGAAAGGTATTTCAATCTAGATATCACTCAGGACGTATTTTTAATGTTTCCCACATTTCCTGTCTTTAGCAGGGTGGGCTGAGGTCTGGTTCCACTAATTCTGCTTTAATAGGAGCATCCGACACTTGGTATGGTCAGTCATTTTAATCGTAGCCATTTTCATGGGGATGCAGGGGTGGCTCGCTGTGGCTCTTATTTGTATTTCCCTAATGGTGGGTGGTGTTGGGCATCTGCGGCCGACCTGTGTGTAAGATGGCCACATCCCAGCAGGTGTTCTCAATTGTGTCCCAGTGACCTCTCTGTCCCAGCCCCCATGACAACTTGGTTAATTACTGTACTCCATCATACACTGTAGAACATATCATGAAAATAAACCTTGGTTTCTTTTCTGAGTAAAAATACAGCCATTTGCGCGTGAAAGGCCTTCTGTTTCATCTTCTAGCTGTGTGAGGCTGCGCGGCTACCCCTTGTTCCTCAGCTCACAGAAAGGACGGCAGAGACCAGGAGCTGGCAAACTTTTGTCAAGGGCTAGATGGTAAACGGCTTCCACTGAGGACACACTGTTAGCTACAGCTCTTGAGTTGGCCATTGCAATATGAAAGCAGCTACAATGTGGAAACAAATGCGCCTGGCCCAATAAAACTTTATTTATGAACACTAAAATCTGCATTTCTTTTTTTCTTGAGAGGGAGTCTTGCTCTGTCACCAGGCTGGAGTGCAGTGGCACAATCTCGGCTCACTGCAACCTCCTCCTCCTGGGTTCAAGCGATTCTTCTGCCTCAGCCTCCCAAGTAGCTGGGACCACAGGCACGTGCCACCACGCCCGGCTAAATTTTTATATTTTTAGTAGAGACGAGTTTCACTGTGTTGGCCAGGATGGTCTCGATCTCTTGACCTCGTGATCTGTCTGCCTTGGCCTCCCAAAGTGCTGGGATTACAGGCGTGAGCCACAGCGCCCGGCCATCTGCATTTCATATAATTTTGAAGTGTTGCAAAGTATTATTATTTCATTGGGTTTTCCCCCAAACATTTAGAAATGTAAAACCATGCTTGGCTGGCAGTTTGCGCGAGAACAGGAGGCAGGCCAGCTCTGGTCTGAAGCTGTGGTTTGCATGGACCCATAAGGCTTTATTACAGCAGCCATGCCTGTCCTGGCTGACAGGACCTTCTACCACAGGGGCTCTGAGTCCAGCTGCCAGGAAGCTCATCTCAGTGAGGAGCCCCTGCTCACCCGCCTGGTGTCACTGGGGCTGCAAGCATAACTGCAGGCATAACTGGTCCTGATGAACACATGTTAAGTGTAGACGTATTTGGGATGAGGAAAATGGGGGGTCCAGGCCAATGACCCCCCCAAACTCCCTTCTGTCCCGGGAGGAGGTTCCTGGTGCTGGAAGACAGGAAGGCACAGGCTGGGAATACCCAGAACCCAGTGAAGGCCGCCCATCTGCAGAGGAAGGGTCTGGGGCAGGTCCCTCAGAGGCTGCCCTTCCCTCTGTTCCCTCCGCCACGTGCTGCTGCCGGGGGCCCTCCCAAAGGGCAAAAGCCTTCCAGGTCATAGACCCTGCTGACCAGCCCAGGAACTCCCACCTCAGCCTCTTCTCTACCACCCTCCCTGCACCCCAGTCACACAAATCCCACCAAAGCCTTGGCCTCCGGGCCCCCAGCTTCCATTTCACCTCTGGGTGCCTGGTTTCCCTCTGAGCCATGTCTTGCTTCAGAAAGTCAGAGCTGTTTTCTGCTGCTTGCAACCCAGAAGGCTGAAGAGCTGTAGGATGCTCTCAGAAGTGGAGCACTATTTGCCTTGGACATTGTGCTCTTGTCATTGGGGCCTTAGGTGTCATCTGGTTGTGATAAAGTCTGGTTTTGTTTTTTTTTTTTTTTTGGAGATGCAACCTCCTCTTCCCAGGTTCAAGTGATTCTCCTGCCTCAGCCTCCCAAGTAGCTGGGACTACAGGTGTGTGCCACCACCCCCAGCTAATTTTTGTATTTTTAGTAGAGACAGGGTTTCACTATGTTGGCCAGGCTGGTCTCAAACTCCTGACCTCGGGTGATCTGCCTGCCTGGGCCTCCCAAAGTGTTGGGATTATAGGCATGAGCCACCGCACTGGGCAAGTAATAAAGATTTGGGGAGGTGACACACTTCCCCAAATTCAGGGCCCTCTGGCTGCTGAGCTCTCCTGATACTTCTACTCCTAATGTGACATTTAGGGCCGGGGCCAGGGTTTGGGAGACAGAGCTGAGCCCCAGCCTCCCTCTGTGATGAGGGATAAGCATTCCAGGGAGGCCCGAGGAACAGTGCCCAGGCAGGGAAATGCAGCAGCTGCTGGCCCCTTCAAGGGTGGGCCGTGGGAGGATGGGCTGACAAGGCAGCCTCACTGCCAGCACAATGTCTCCCACCTTCTGTAAAATCTTTTTTTTTTTTTTTTTTTTTTTGAGACAGAGTCTCCCACTGTCACCTGGGCTGGGCCTTGAGGGCTCATGCAATTCTTCTGCCTCAGCCTCCCGAGTAGCTGGGATTAGAGGCGTACACCACCACACCAGGCTAATTTTTTGTATTTTTAATAGAAACGGGTTTTACTATGTTGGCCAGACTGATCTCGAAGTCCTGACCTCATAACCCGCCCGCCTTGGCCTCCCGAAGTGCTGGGATTACAGGCATGAGCCACCGAGCCCAGCCTTCTGTAAATCTTAATTCAGCGCCCACCTCCCACTCTCAGGTGTGCTCCTCGCCCTCTCACCGTAGGCAGGACGATCCTTGGCAGGTCTGGGGTCAGTGGAGGTGGGGAGGCAGCAGGTGGGACACCTGTGGGGGTCAGTTCTGGGGGCAGGGCTGACCCCAGGGCTCCTCTGCTTGCCGCACTCCAGGCCTGCACCCGAGATAGCTCGTTCAGGAGGTGCTGTTCCTGCAAAGCCAATGCAGAGCTGCTGCACACCGGAGAAGGGGAGCCCAAACACCACAGAGGCACCCCCAGCCTTAGGCTCAGCCCAGCCTGGGCCAGGTACAGGCCCCTCTCTGGGCAGGCTGGCAGTGGCTGGAAGACCCTTCAAGGGGTATACGCATGAGGGTGGCACTCCTAACATCGACCAAATCATGTCAGCTTGTCTCCAGTTGTTTTCTTTTCCAAGCCAACAGGGTCTGTTCTCTCTTTGAAGTCAGTTTCAGGCCAACTGGCTGCAAAGATCTCCCCGCTAGAAAAGTGGCCCCACCTCCTGGGCATCTCTGCCACTCAGAGGCATCTTTGGTGAGTGCCATGAGAGCAAACCTCCCCACATCCTAAAATTCCAGGTCCTCCTGGAACTGGGCCCCTACTTGACATTTCCAGCCCTGATGGAAACTTGCACTCAGGCGGGTCTCTAAGCTAACAGTGGCCTTACTGGGGCCTGGCCCTGAGAGTCCGGAAAGGTCTTCCCCTCACCCCCGACCTGTGCCATAAGGCTGAGCAGCTGTCTCTGCCACAGTGAGCTCTGCCACAGTGAGCTCAGCCAGCTTCGCTCATCGGGAGCAGGACTTACCTGGAGTCTCTGCAGAAGCTCACTCCTTCTCTTCAGAGCAGTCTGCAGGGCGTCATCCGGCCGGTCCTCGTTTCCTGGAGGGAAACACCTGCTTGCTCATAGAGGAAAACGCAGAGGCTGTCACTGCAAGCACTCGGACAGCACTGCACCCGTGTGGAATGCCCCACCTCACCCACTCTCCTGGGATGGGGGCGGCCTGGGAGGCTCCTGGGCTCAGGTTATCCCAGAGAAAGAGGGACCCATGCTGGGTAAGGAGGGCAAGGGCAGCATCAGGGGAGGGGCAACCCAGGGAACTCAGTGTCGGAGTCTGGCCTATGGTCATCTCATTCCTGGAAGGGAGGCTGAAGTCACGCGGCCAGATTCCTCCTGAGTACCTTTTGTAGAGTCCCTGGGCTCCAGGAGGCCAAGGCTTCTACCGGGCTGCCTGCAGCCTCACCTTGGCCACCTGAAGGCGCCCTCTGACCCCAAGCAGTCCAGACTCTAGTCTGACCCCCAAGTGTCTGCAAGTCCCTCTAATCTGCCCCTCAGTCTGGGTAAGGTGACTCCTGCCTGTGATCTCAACACTGGAAGGTTGAGCTGGGAGGAATGATCTCAGGAGGTCGAGGGTGCAGTGAGTTATGATCATGCCACACCACACTCCAGCCTGGGCAGCAGACGAGACCAACCCTGTCTCAGGAAAAAAAAAAAGTCTGGCAGTGACTCACACCTGTAATCTCAGCACTTTGGGAGGCTGAGGTGAGTGGATCACTTCAGATCAGGAGTTTGAGTCCAGCCTGGCCAACATGGCAAAACCCTATCTCTACTAAAAATACAAAAGTTAGCTGGACATGGTGGTGCACACCTGTAATCCCAGCTACTCGGGAGGCTGAGGCAGGAAAATTGTTTGAACCTGAGAGGCAGAGGTTGCGGTGAGCTGAGATCACACCACTGTACTCCAGCCTGGGTGACAGAGCGTGTCTCCTTCTCAAAACAACAACAAAAAGAAGTCTATACTCCTTGGGGGAGGGTCTGCACTCAAGAGAAGGCTCCGGAAGGTGAGGGGCAGGGTTCTGGCTTCCTTTCCCTTCGGCACAGGGGTCCTGTCCCTCACCCAGCATCACACTGGAGAGGGGCTGCTGGAAACACCAGTCAGTCCTTGGGGCTCCCCAAACCCTCTGCCCCAGGCAGTGGTTGCCATTCTGTCACCTCTCACAGGCTGTGCAGACCTGGTTTGGGACTTTCTCTCTCTGTATTTGAGACTCTGAGCTCTGCCCCTGGCAGCTGCCCCCATAGCTCACAGGTTGCCCCATGTTCCAAAGAACAGGAAATGTTCCTTTGGCCTCCTCAGCTTCTCCCCAGAGGTCTCCAGGCAGCAGTGAGGACAGCAGCCCCTCCCCAACCAATGGTCAAGCTCAGCCTCTGGAACCACAGCATCTGGGTCTGACCCAGGTGTGACCACTTCCAGGCTGAGCACAGGCTGAGCGATCCCAGACAGTTCAGCCAACCTCTCTCTGCCTCCATTTTCTCATCTGCAAAATGGGAACGGTGAAGGTGCCCCTTTTGGGGTCTGCAGACTAAAGGTGATAAGGAATGGGGATGTCTTCAACTTGAATGTAAAGGAAATGAATTAAGGACGGTCTCGCTATACCAGGAGCGGGGGTGATTCCTGGAACTGCTGTCCCCACCTCCCTGGAGAGGCTACACTCGTGCCCGCCTGTGCTGGTTCCAAGCAGCCCGGTGCTCTCACCCGGCTCGAGGTGGAGGCCCTCAGGCCCCCCTTCCAGGTTCTCCCGTTCTTGCTCCAGCTTCTGTGAGGAAAAAGAGACCATGACAGGGACACTGGCTCCAGGCAAAGGCCCTGTGTGCTCCAGGAATGACTAAGAGGCTTTCTGAGTGAACAGAAAGTGTACGTCAGGAGTAACCCAGCCCGTCCAGGGCCAGAAGGTGGGAGGTGAGCCCCTCCAAGGATCTCCTCTGTGAGCCTGACCTCCAGCAAATGCTCCATCTGCAGGTCTAAGGATGGATGCTGTGAGTGGCCCCTTCAGGCAGATTTCTGAAGAGCAACCCCCGGAGACACCTGGTGAGCCCTCCAGGCTTCCCAGTCAGTGCATGCCCGGATCACCCCCACCTGGACCCCGAGCTGAGCAGCTAGCTGCTGGATGGCTGCAGTGGGCCAGGATGCAGGGTGCAGAGTGCAGGGCTGGCAAAAGGCAGGCAGCAGGTCCCTCAGGCAGCAGGAGGGTACAATGCAGGCAGGGGGTACAGAGGAGCCCCCGGCACCAAGGCCCCCTGGACCCTGTGTTCAGTGGCCCAGGAGGACAGGCAGGCAGATCATGGGCCACCCAGCCTGAGGATAGGTCCACTGCACCACCAGCCCTGGGCCCAGCCCTTGGGACCCTGCATTCTGCCCCTGCAGGGCTGTCTCGGGGTCCCTTCAATGCTGCAGCCTGGAGTTGTTAAAAACGGGAGCATCCCGGGCTCTGCCTTACCTGTCTCAAGAGCTTCAGCATCAGTCGGATCACTTGCTCTGCTGCTGATGAGTCCAGCATACTGGGAGCTACAGGAGATGACAGTAGTGGGCAGGGGAGGCCACAGCCCACCTCCCTCCCTGGTTCTGTTACTTGCAGGAGAGGACTGCTCGGCAAGAGCCCAAGCACCAGTGTCACCTGCAGGGCTGGCCTAACCTCCTGGAAACCAGCCCCAGGGGAGAGAAGAGCCACTCTCCCTGGACTGCAGCGCCCCACATGCCAGCGCAGGACGCCACATGGCAGTTGCCAGGCTGCCAGACGCAGGGAGGCCCCAGGTTGCCAGGTTTCCACTTTGCGTCCTTAGGCTGCTACCTGTAAACACTCATCCCCAGGTGTGGCCGGCTGGGCTTCATGGGAAGGCAAAAAAGTGGGCAGCAGCTGAGGCAGAGGGGCAGAGCTCCCAGACCTGGGGGAAGGGGACAGCCGTGACCCCCATGCACCACCAGCCTCAGGACCCAGCCCAGAAGAACCTGTGTTGGGGGAGAGCGCCCCATCTCTGTGCACTGCCTCCAGGACAGGGCGGCTCCTCCCCTCTTAGGGACCCTCAGAGCTAGGAGGGAGGGCAGTTCCTCAACTGGGAGGACAGGGTGGGGAGACTGCCTACCAAGTTGTTCAGGAAATTCCAGGTGCAAAAGTTGGGGGACAGAGAAGGGATCGTGACCTGCAGAGGGACTGAGCTTCAGCAGGACCAGGCAAGGAGCCAGGTGTGCAGAAAGCTTCACAGAGGGCAGACACAAGTCAGGAGCGTGGTCTGCACTTGGCTAAGCATTCAACTCCACATTGATGAGTTAGTCAATCCCACTATGCAAGCAGACGGACATCTGGGGGGTGTCAGCAGCAGGGGGCCAGACCTGTGGACCCGAGGGGCAGAGGTTAGTACCCTCCTCCGTGCAGCTGACCCAGAAACTTGCCTCGGTGGCCAAAATTGCCCTCAGTTTTGTAAATGGCCATGTCCATCAGTATCTATGCTTGTATGCCTGTCCTGTCTCCCAACCCACATCCAGGTGGGGAGCCTGGAGCTGGACCAGTGAGTGACAGGGTGAAGGCCAGCCAGCGCATAGGAGGTCATGCTCACAGAGGCAGCTCATGGAGGAGATCCTCAGAGGGGCTCACCTCGACCTGTTGGCCCTGGAGAGGCTAGGTTACCCTGTTATAGAGTTCTATTCACCTTACCCTGGAGGCCATCTAACCAGAAATGAAGGCAGCATGAAACCAGGCCTTACCCTCCCTCCATGCCTGAGGAGGCTGTGGGCTGGGGTCACATGCCCTGCTGGTGCCCACACATTTCCAGTTGGCAGTCAGGGGTCCTCAAGGGTGCTGCTGCACGTGAGCAGACTGGCCCCATGTTTAAGATCACGACTGTAATATCAGTGCTTTGGGAGGACAAGGCAAAAGGATCACTTAAGCCCACGAGTTCGAGACCAGCCTACACAACATAGCAAGACCCCCATCTCTACAAAAAATAATAAATAATAAAAAAAGAACCCAGCTCTTGTCCATGGTCATTAATGGTGACAGTCTGGGGAGACATTTACACAGCTCTGAGTGTATACAGAACAAAAACCAGGTTAATTTAGTTAAGTAACTGTATAGCGCACCCTTGATATAAGTGATCCCATCTGAGAAAAAGACTCCATCTTACTTTTTTTTTGAGATGGAGTTTCGCTCTTGGTGCCCAGGCTGGTGTGCAGTGGTGGTGCGATCTGAGCTCACTGCAACCTCTGCCTCCTGGGTTCAAGCAATTCTCCAGCCTCAGTCTCCCGAGTAGCTGGGACTACAGGCTTGCAGGACCATGCCCAGCTAATTTTTGTATTTTTGATAGAGACAGGGTTTCACCACATTGCCCAGGCTGGCCTTGAACTCCTGACCTCAAGTGATCCACCACCTCAGCCTCCCAAAGTGCTGGGATTACAGGCGTGAACCATTGCACCTGGCCGGATACCTTTTAAAATGTTAAGACAGGCCAGGTGTGGTGGCTCATGCCTGTAATCGCAGCACTTTGGGAGGCTGAGGCAGGCAGATCACTTGAGGTCAGGCATTCGAGACCAATTGGGCAATGTGGCAAAACCCCGGTCTCCACAAAATATACAAAATTTAGCCAGACGTGGTGGTGGGCGCCTGTAGTCCCAGCTACTTGGGAGGCTGAGGCAGGAGAATCGCTTGAACCCAAAAGGTGGAGGCTGCAGTTGAGTAGAGATTGCAGCACTGCACTGCAGCCTGGGCCACAGTGAGACTCT